GCCACAGCACAGTCACGGCCACACAGAGAACACGCTCCTGTAAGTGTAAGAACGCACCAGGCTGCTTCCAAGTACTGGAAACGTGTCATGTTGCTCGCTTCTTCCATGACTAGGAGGCCTCCTCTTGGGCAACCAGCCTAGCCTTTGGGACAGAAAACGGGTTTTATCGCAGGAGCAGGAAAATGTGCTTTTTCCTGAACGGATTCCGGCCTGGAGAGGCTGAAGAGAGCCATCTGCTTTGAGCTACAGCCACTGCGGGTCCTCAGCGGCGGCTCCAGGCAAGCGCACAGCTAACCTCCTGGAGCTGGGTGCTGGGTGCTGGGTGCTGGCAGGCTCAGTCCAAAGGACCCGCCCTGGAATTCCTTGAATGGGGATCGGTGGAAATCACCTTTGACTAGACAGGGAAAGGAGGCTGGGAAGCTTGAGAAGAAACGCCCAGTCGCTGACTCGCATTTAAATGGCAAAAGATTACAAAGGAAGGGGAAAAGAAACAGAGAAACCAGAGAGATCCTGGGGGCAGCAGGACTTAAGGCAAGGAAGGGAAGGAGAATTTGATCATTCCCATTACACACCGGTGTTTACTTAAATGTAACTTTTATTTACATGGAAACTTTGTTTTCAAAAGAACTTTTAGCCCGTGAAGAGGGTGGAGGTGATAACAAAGTTAATTATGCCTCATAATTAGTAATTAAGATTAGATAACAAAGCTTTTGGCAATGCACTACTGTAATGATGACGGACTCACATCTGAGAAATATAATGGTGTATTTGCATAACCACATATGCAAAGTACATAGAAACATTGCCACAGTTAACTTGTCATTGAATGATTAAATATGAATTCATAATTAGAAAAATCCACACTGTAATTTATTGACTTTTCTGACGGTTCTGGCTCATTAAAAGTTGATTACTAAACAGTGACCTCTAGTGGCCCATAATTTGCTAATGCTATATTGTTTCTCTGAAAGAATCAGTGTAGAACTTAAATGCCCTAAATAGGTGACTATTTTGAAGACGTTAATATTCCTTCTCCCTAAAAAAGCAAAAATTCCTTTCCCATTTCTTTCTCCTTAAATACATTCTGAATGACAGAAGCAACGGGCGAAAATGCTTCCCTGCTTCTGCTCAAGTGTCACACATTCATTAACAAATTCTGGCTATGCAATTTTACACAACCACCTGGGCTGGGCGTTAAGAGGACATTTTAGTAATAGTTGGGAGCTGATTTGATTAATTCCATACCATCCAATCAAAAAGAAAACCAACATTAATATGATAGTCATGCTACTATCTAGTCACTGCCGATAAACAATGGAACATGCTGAAAAAAACACTTCAATTGAAAACTCAAGAGACAGCGTAATTTCAAGTTCATGGCATATTGAACAAGAACCCCTGGTGGCCTACCTAATAGGTGAAGCACTGGGCTGCCAAGCAAAAGGTCCCTAGTTTGAGCCCACCAGATGCTTCATGGAAAACAATCTGCTTCTGTAAAGATTATAAGCCCTGGAAATTCTACAGAGCGGTTCAACTCTGTCTTATGGGTCACTGTATGTCCAGTGAATTTGGTTTTGCATACTAAACTACTTGAGTTTATCTTAAAAGAAAATCTATAACAACCCGCCTTTTAAGAAATCTAGTTCATTTCTTAAATATTCCCCCAAAGAAAGGTTCTATAGAGCATGCAAAAAATTTCCGCTCTTCAGATGAAGATAAAAATTCACTGCCATGAGTTTTTCCATGGTGACTCACAGTGACCTCCTACGCGTTTCCGAGACTCTGACTGTTAGGAAAGTAGAAAGCCCGGTCTTTCTGCCTCGGAGCTGCTAGGGTTTTGAACTGCCGACAATGGGGTCACAGCACAACACCTAGCCATATTATACCACCAGGACTCCATTTCAAATCAATGCATACCTTTAAAAAGGATACATATGTCTATGCAGAAATTTAAATCAAATTTAAACCTAAATTAAAAATCCATAAATATACTAACTTTTGTTACTTGCTACTTAAGTACACTCATTATTGATACTGGATTCCAGAGGGGCTCACTACAGGGAGAGAAGACTTTGATTATTTCATTAAAATGAGTAAAATCCTTTATTCGCACCCACCTCCTAAAATCAGCTGGCATACCTATGCTAGCTCTCTTAGCTGTGGCAGTGCTGTAGCAAGCCCCCTTTGAAGATGTGATTATCTCTAATAAATCTAACATTTGAACAAAAAGAAATATATATATGTATACTTCTTTCATGTATGACTTCTACATATAATTTCTACGGAACACATCTGTGTGGGGTGCCGGTTGTTTTCCATGGTGATTTAACATAGTAGTTGTAAAATGAGTTGTAGCTTCTGCAACAACGGAATCACCATTTAATGCTATTATCAACAGTTCATGACCCACCAGCAAGAAATGTCAACCTGATTAATCTATACACTGCTGACCTCAAAAAAAAAAAAAAAAACCCAACTTACTCCTCACAGTATAAGGCTGTTTTAAGCTTCTATTGTTCTTCATATTAAAATATGAAGTTAAACAATCTTTGAATTAAAAAAAAAATTTTTTTAAACTTACTATGCTAATTTTCCCTAAGTGGGAGTTAATAGGGTTTAGAAAAGGTAAGGGCTGATTACTTAAATAAAAACATATGTTCCCACTAAGGGAAACATTTTTCAAAAGATACAATGCCTATTTAAAATACTTATGTTTCTTTAAAAAGATAGTATAGCAAATTAGGGTTATAGAAAATTATCAGTTTGGTTAGAATGCTCCTATTAAACTTTCATTTTTTTATACATGGGTTTCAAAAACAACTAGGAGATCAGAAAGGCCTACAAATACAGGTTTGGGGATTTTACCATTGCTTCCCAGAGCCACAGGTTTTGAAGAGTGCTTGTATAAAATATTTCATCTTCTCCATGTAACTGGAGTGCATCCACTTGCCGTGCAGCCGCTTTACACAACAGGCTACTGCTGATGGGACGCCAGCCTGAAAGCCTGGCGTTTCTGAAGAGATTATTTAATGCTGCTGTTTGGACATTCCTAGGAGGTTCAGAGAAAGTCACACCTCAGGTTTCAGAAGGGCTCATTAAAGAGCAAATTGCACAGCTGATTTTTAGCAAAAACAGATCCAAATTTTCTCCACTACAAGGTGTCTGTATCTACAGAAAGTGAACTCAACCTCCACTTCCTCATTCAAGGTTGAGGTTGAGGCTGGAAGTAAAGCAACTGAGAATAGGCAGAAGATTTCAAGATTCTCTGCAACTGGATGCAGAGAATCTTTTTAAACATTGTTTTAAATGTTAAAAACAAAAACAAAAACATTTGTTTAAAGAGTTCTATAGGTGCCCTAAAAGGGTTAACTAAAGTAGTCATAGGGAAACAATCGGTAACCCTAGAATGAGGAAGATTCTACTGGACAACTGGCCTGGACACTTCACAACTATCATCTGGAAAGACGGGACTTTTTTTTCCCCCAAGAGAGGACATGGGAACTGCTCTAAATTTTAAAAGGCTGAAAAAACATGACAACCAAATAAATGCAGGAATCCTGAGTAGAGACTGGGCAAAAAGGGAAAAAACAAAAAAATAAACCCAGCTACTTGGGGGACAAATGAAAACATTTAAATGTTCCATATTTAAATGTTTAAATATGGAATAATTTAAACATTTAAGTATGGAATAAGCCAATGTCAAATTTCTTGGGTGTTCTAATGGTCTTGGAGAGCACTCTCGGAAGACACATGCTAGTCGTTATTATGGGGTAAATATGAAGCCAAAAAGAACAAATGTCTATGAATGTGTGTGCATGTATGAAGACAGAGTACGAGAGAGAAACAGAACACTAACATGGGAAAATGTTAATTCATGAATTCAGCTGTATTATTCTTTCAACTTTTCTGGTGGTTTGATTTTTTTTTTTAATATAGAGATGGAAGGGGAGGGGGCAGAATTGGGCTTTGATCCAATCTGTCTTAATGTTTGTTTAATATAAATAGTTTTTATTACCTGGAAGTAATATCTGACTATTACACATTGCAACCATGTCAACCGATTATAACTGAGGTTCTAAAAACATCTTATGTTCAGTGCTTTTACATAAAGATACAATAACCCTTTTATATTAGCCTTTCAAAGTAGAAAATTCAGAACTGAAATCCAAATCCAAAGTAGTGACATCCTACTCTTCAAAAAATAAAACAAATAGTTACTTTCCATGACCACATTCCGAATCCCTTGGTACTGCCACTTTTACAGTGAGGTTTGCGTATGTTTTCTATCTCTAGCAGCACTGCATTTGTCCGCACAATACTCCCCAAGTAAATGACTAACGACACTAATGGTGTTTGTCTAAGGTAGCTACATAGCATTTGGTACAGAAATGACCCAGCCGTGTTCCATTTTAGGCTTGTCTTACAAATAAAAACCCAATGGGAAGTGGGGGGAGCGCAAGATACCTTTAACCTGTTTGACTCCAATGAATATGAAAACCTGAAAACAGGACTCCCAGACTATTTCTGGGACAAGTAGCCTTGCTGTTAAGAAGAGCAATGAAAATCCAGAATGTTTACTTCCGATTAAAATCACACTACAAATATTGTGCACATGTACCTTTTCAAAATATTCTTGAGTCTATTTGAATATTCATATTTCGACAAATTAAGACTTAGGGAAGAGATATATGGGACAAATTAAAATGCATGTGGCTATTTTTGCTATGACTTTTCAGGAACAAAGCTGTCACGAATACAAGCATATTTCCCTGATTTAATGAGTGATGATGCTGTAACAGGCATACCCACTCACCTACCCCACAACAGTGTAACCCACTTTAGTACCCACAGCCCAGGAGCAAGGTCAGGCAATGGTTTGGGGCTCCTGTTTGCTCTGGCATGGGGCACTATGCTAGGGTCATGGGGATGGGCCGGCCTTAAACCCAAACAGGCACTTCTTAGTACAAGAGGCACCATGCCACCATCTCATTTCCCAGATGAGGGAAAGTAATGGGAGTATTTGAACCCTGGTCTTCTGCACAGCAATGCTGAGTCCAAGCAAATCCACTTGAAAAGCTGGAGCAGTTAAAAAACCAGGAAAAACCCCAGCTCCCAGTAACCAAAAAATATCCAGAGCAGATAACCAGGGCTATACATAAAAACTGTAAGAGGCTATTATTAGTAATTCATAAGAAAATTAACTGTTGTTTAATAAACAAAATTTAGCTCTCAGCTTGATTATTAAATACAGGGCAAGATACTGTATATACTCATGTATAAGCTGAGTTTTTCAGCACATTTTTAATGCAGTTTTTGTGGTAAAAATAGGTGCCTCGGCTATTTGGGTGGGCTTATACTCGCATATATACAGTCATTCATTTGGTGTGTTTTGTGCTCTTTAGAAAGCCTACTTAATTTAATTTATACCTTTTCTTTCTAGAAAATTTCATTCATTCATTTACTCATCCATTCATGCACCTGTGCCCTCAATCTGAATCTGGCTGCCTACTTGCGCCTTAGGTAATCGCTGCTGTTGTATTTATATTCTAGCAGAGGGGTTCGCAACCTGAAGTGCATATTAGGAACAACTCCCAGGGGGAAAAGGCAAGGGAGGAGGAGGAGATCAGAGCACCTGCAGAGGTTAGCTTTATAAAGACCACCAATGGTTCATCCATGGGTGGAAAGGGGGCAGACAGATATGCATACAATTGAAGGGAGGTTAGATGTGGTAGTGGGATCTCATGGAAATTCTTAGATTCTGAGTAAAAGTCAGAAGGAAGGTCATTACTGACACTGGGGAAGGGTAATGGAGGTTTGAAGGGAGAAGATGTAAAACAATTGTTCAGGTGAAGGGAAGAGTGTGAACAGATTATGGAAATGAAGGCGAGCTGCTGTGTTGTGTGCTGTTGAATCAGCTCTGGCTCACAGCAATCCTAGAGGTCAGAGGAGAACTGTCCCATAGGGTTTCCAAGGCAGGAGACCACCAGGAGCAACTGGTAGTTGTGACCGGACCTTTCAGTTAGTAACCATGAGCTTAATGATTGAGCCCCAGAGCTTCTCGCACTTGAGATTCATAATCGTGAATGGAACCCCAAAGTGGAACAGGCTTAAGATGGCGATCTAGTTTCTCCAACCTCTTTCAGCTACTGAAAGGCAGAGGGCAAATAAACAGCTGGCTCTGGCCAGGGATAAGGCCCAACTAACAGAGAACAAGGTACAAGAGTGGAGAGGATGGAGAATTATGTATCATGAACCATCAACTGGGCAAGGAAGGCAGGGAGGACGTGCAAAGGAAAGGGAAATGGGAGGCTGTTCCACTCGCCTGCTTCACTGTCAGCTCCAGGGACTGCTGCTAATGGAAACTCGAACACTTAGCATCTTCCCGAACAGTTTAAACTCCCTTCTTTTAAAAACACTCAATTTCTTTTCTTTTAAATAAAATACAGCTTTGTTTCAAGCGTGAACCAATAAAGCCTGTAATCTTAATAGGGTGTTTTTGAATTTTGTTTTGTTTTTACAGTTCAGGGGAATTTATTATTTCCAAGTCTTCTGGCACTTAAGACCAAAACGAAAATATATATACTCCCTCCCCCACCCCACCCCCACCCCCATATTCTAACCTAAAAAGGAAGGAGACTCTACTGTAGAAGGTATCCGGAGAGGTCAATTCAAATGGATTCATCCTCTTGTGCTAGCTTTACCAAAGCAGATCCTCTAGAACAGCAGTTCTCAACCTGTGGGTCGCGGGGTCGCCTGATTCATCACAGTAGCAAAATGACAGTGATGAAGTAGCAATGAAAATAATGTTATGGTTGGGGGGGGTCACCACAATATGAGGAACTGGATTAAAGGGTCGCAGCATTAGGAAGGTTGAGAACCACTGCTCTAGAAGAAATTCAATTCTTGATTTTAAGTTTCCAAATTTATTTAAAGTGAAACAATATTAATTTGAGAGAAGATGAAAGAGGAGGTGCTTACTTCTCTCTCTCTTTGGATGTATTTAGTATTTAGAATAAATAAACTTACTGCTTTGAGTTAGGACTTAAGAATCTGACTTAAACAGGAGCCCTAGTGGCACACTGGTTCCATGCTGGGCTGCTAACCACAAGGTCAGCAGTTCAAAACCACCAGCTGCACCACAGGTGAAAGATAAGGCTTTCTAGTCAAGAGTTACAGGAGGGGGGTAAAAATTACAGTCTTGAAAACCCACAAAGGCAGTTGCGGGCATATGAGTGGGATCTACTCCATGGCAGGTTACTGTATGCTTTAAAAGTCCGCAACCCTTGCCCTACAATTCTGTGTGTATATATATATACACACACATACATACATACATATACACTCTAAAAAGCAAAAGATGTAGAGAAAAAAGAGAAAGATGTTTTAAACTCATTTGGCAGCAAACCTTACTTGGACTGCTGTAAGACTATGGTCTTCACTTATTCTACTTAATGTGAATATTACTAGTTTCACTGCAAGAATAATTAATGTTTGATTACATTGTGCTTGCCCATATTCTGCAAAAGATGTTACTTAATATGAGGACTTTAAAGTGTGTGGAAATTTTTCATTATCTTTTTTTAATCGTTTTATTAGGGGCTCATACGAATCTTATCACAATCCATACATACATCAATTGTGTAAAGCACATTTGTACATTCATTGCCCTCCTCATGCTCAAAACATTTGCTCTCCACTTAAGCCCCTGGCATCAGCTCCTCATTTTTTCCCCTCCCTCATTATCTTTCAATTCCATTTTCCCACTTTTTGAAGCTCCCCCTGCCCCCAATATAGGGTACATGTAGGGAATTATCTTTCTAAAAACCCCAAACAAAACTCAGTTCCGAAGAGTTTTAGATAAGGGATTGTGAAAGTATAGCCCCCCGCCCCCTATTTTATGAAGAGTAACCCAAACTTGGCTTAGCCACAAAATTGTAACAGTAATTTGCTTCTATTTATAGAATGAGTGTGATACATACAAGTAGTGTTAGATACATTATTTTGATCTAACTAAAAATAAGAAGAATGAAATCTGAGTCTAGTTATTTGAAAGTCTGTGAACTTAACTTTAATCTAGGTTTGCCCCACCTCAAAAACCCAGCTGGCCTCCCAGAGGAAAGAGCTGGGCTAGTTATTTCTTGTGTTTATCTAGTGGTTTCGTTTCTCATTAATCAGAAGTAGCATATTATATGAGTAAAAAGCCCAGTAACTCAGGCTTGGATATGAATTAGCTCCCTGCCCACAAGTGCCTAGGTATAAAGTCTTGCATAAATTCCTCCTTTGGCCAGTTTTAATTTCAAACTTTGGGGTTCAGGACTCATTCTTTATATTCTTAATGTCATTCCGGACCCTAAAGCTGTTGCTTATGTAAATATTATCTATTAGTGTTTAGTGCTCTCTTAGAAATTAAAACTGGAAAGAAAAGAAATTAAAACTGATCGATATTCTTAATCTCTTTAATTAAAGATGACAAAAAGAAATCCATTAGTCACAAATCTTTTTATTAAAAAAATAGTTTCCAAAACAAAACAAAAAAAAAAACATTTAGTGAGACAAGTAGTGTGCTGTTTTATCTTTTATTTTTATCTTTCACTTCTGGCTTACTAGACCCATTGGAGCTGAATCCATTCCAACTGAAGAAAACCCTGTATAGGATAGAGTACAGGTGCTAGAAAGGGTTTTCAGGACTGTAAGTATTTCCTGTTGTTTTAAAAAGTTTTATTGCCCACATGGAAGAACACATCAGCCTGTGTGATCACGAGGTGCCAAAGGGATCAGTTATCTGGCGTCAAAGAACAAAAAATCATATCACTGTGTGCTCACCTCCATAATACGATCGCTAAAGACAAATCGGTGCATAAGCAAATGTGGCGAAGAAAGCTGATGGTGCCCAGCTATCAAAAGGTATAGCGTCTGGGGTCTTAAAGGCTTGAAGGTAATCAAGCGGCCATCAAGCTCAGAAGCAACAAAGCCCACATGGAAGAAGCACACCAGCCTATGCAACTGTGAGGTGTCGAAGGGATCAGGTATAAGGCATCATCAGAACAAAAAATCTTACCATAGTGAATGAGGGGGGGAGTGCATAGTGGAGACCCAAAGCCCATTTGTAGGCCACTGGAGATCCCCTTGCAGAGGGGTTTCGGGGAGGAGTGAGACAGGGTGCGATGTAGCAACAATGAAAAATACAACTTTCCTCTAGTTCCTAAATGCTTCCTCCCTTCCTCCCCACCCCCTCCATGATCTGAATTCTACCTTGCAAGTCTGGCTAGACCAGAGGATGTACACTGGTACAGACAGGAACTGGAAATGCAGGGAATCCAGGGCGGATGATCCCTTCAGGACCAGTGGTGTGAGTGGCGATACTGGGAGGGTAGAGGGAGAGTGGGTTGGAAAGAGGGAACCAATTATAAGGATCTATATGTGACCTCCTCCCTGGGGGACGGTGAAGGGAGATGTTGGATAGGGCAAGATATGACAAAGTAATAATTTATAAATTATCAAGGGCTCATGAGGGGGGGGAATAAAATAAAGTTTTATTTGCATACACTTCACATATCATACAATTTAATCATGTAATCCTAATGAAGTTTATGCAATCATCACCACAATTCATTTCGGAACACTTTCTTCCCATATTCAATAGTTAGCTCCCATTTGAACCCATCCTCCCTGCCATGCCCCTAGGCAATTATCAATTCAGTTACTATCTCCATGAGGCTGTAAATCTTTACTGAACCAAACAATCTCACCTTTCTCCAATGAAGTAGCAGGCGGGTTAGAACCACTGACCTCTCAGATAGTAATCTGAGAACACTATAATCTACCAGGGCTCCTATCTTAATAGATAGTAGATACATTTTTAATAGAAGATTTAATGTAGAAGCAGATATATACTGTTTTAATTGAAATATATGAAGAAAATGTGGCCTTATGTAAAAAGGGAGTTATTTAAG